TATATATATAAGTCTGTATTCTATGTAGAACTGTGTATTCATATATCAATCTATCTACCTATCTATCTATATATCTATCTATCTATCTATCTATCTATCTATATATATATATATATATATATATATATATATATGCGAATAAATATTGCATTATGACTATATATATATATATATATATTATAAATTAACTGATTTAAAATATGTTTGTTTCGCTACACAGTAATAACAATGTTTCCAAAAATGGAAGCTAAATACTTTAAATTTAATTTTGTAATAAAATTAAAAACATTTGTTCCATTTCATCCTCAAGCGAATTTTGGAGTAACTTATTTTTTTAAATTTATTGAGTTTTAACTGCAAGGGAAATTCATAATTCACTGTTTCCAATGATACAGAGAGATCCAATCATTCAGACAAGGGGTGGTAGGATGTTCATCTTTATGAATTTTTGTTATATCAGTTATTTGTTACGTTCGAAAAAAACATTTTAAATCAGTTAATTTATAATATTAATGCGTTGTAAATTTACATTGAGCACTATTTTGTAAAAAAAAAAAATATCAATAAGAACACCGGATTACATATTTTACTTTACTTTCTATATATATATATATATATATATATTCTTAATGCAATTTTACTCGCCCCAATTTTTTTCTTGCAAGATAAAAATGTTTCAGTTTTAAATAGTCCACAAAGTTTTATAAAAACAAATCAAATAATCAGTCGATCAAATATATTATTCAAAGTGATATATGTATATTTATATATCAATTTTTCTGATATATATATATATATATATATATATATATATATGTGTGTGTGTGTGTGTGTGTGTGTGTGTGTGTGTGTGTGTGTGCGTGTGTGTAAGTATCTTTAAAAAGATTTAAATTTATTGATGAAGTTAATTTTTGGCATCGTACCCTGAGGTCAGCGGTTGCTATGGTAGCTGTGGTTGTCCTTCTGTCTATCTCCTCTGCCAGTTCGACCTATGACCCTTCTGAACTTCATGGTTTAGTACAGTTTATTTCTTTATACAGTGTAACCCGGATATAAGAGACCCGGATATAAGAGAAACCCGGATATAAGAGAGATTTTCTCTGGTCCCAAATTAGAGCCTGTGTTACCTAAACAAAATAGACCAAACCCGGATATAAGAGAAACCCGGATATAAGAAACTTCTTCTCCGCTCCCGACAACTCTCTTATATCCGGGTTACACTGTAGTTTGTTTTTCTCTTTTATTTTATTGTTTGCAAACTATATTTCTTGTTTATTCACACGTTTTTTTCTTGTAAGAAACCCACAAACAAAAATTAAGCTGAGTTTTAAGAAAATAAGCGTGATTTGAAGTGGGGAGCCTGGAACGGATCGGAAATAATCCCATTAATTTCAATGGGCAAAATTGATTTGAGATACGAGTCTCTTGAGTTACGAGCTCAGTCTTAAAACGAATTAAATCCGTATCTCAAATCCTTACTGTATATAACTTTTGAAAATTTATACAATACAATCGTATCATGTTTGCCTACGCTGATAAAATGGTTTTTGTTTTTCAGCCCTGAACAATTTCGCGAATTTTGCTAAAAAAAAAAACAAACAGAACTATATTTGGAATGGCCTCTTTTGTTTACCGGCCTTCTTAGTTTGATTCTTATAAATCTCAAAATTTGATAGATTTTATCTGAATATTTTGACCTGAAATGCAGTAATTTATGGGGAATAGACAGGTTGATAAACGTTCAAATTGTAAAATCTTTCTCAAAATAAACAGTAAAACTATTCAAGTTAAAAGAAGGAAAAAAAAATCATATTTCCCGAAGTGAAGCCACGTAAATAAATAAACAAATAAATCTCATTAATGAAATGGATAAATCTATCAATATCCACCAGTCAATAAATTTCACTCGAGAAAGAACTGATAAAAGACTATCGTAGGAAAACAGCACCTCATAAAGATGAAGTCATGAAGTACTTTATATTATAGCTAATGACATTTTTATCAATACTGCTGAGAGAGAATATTTTTAGTGAAAGCGTGCGATTATAAACCGACCCATAAGTTGTCTTCAAAAATATATATATATATATATATATATATATATATATATATATATATATATATACCAGTTGTTTGTTAATAACTGTTGGATTGACTACCTGAACATTATATAAACCCTTTCTGAATAAACAATGAATTCTAGAATAAACCACAAATTAGAGGAAATCATATGAAATAGGGCTGCAAGTTTAATGTTCAATACCTTCAAAAATAAACATTGCAGAATTATTAGTTGGATATAAGTTGTTTTTTTTGTATCTATAGATCTGAGATGAGGTATTATGTAAACTATTTACATTATTCGAACTATTGTCACAAAGTTTCCTTGTACGCTATGGCCTTCTTCTGGAGCCACACTATCAATAAATAGAAATATGCCAACTTTTTTGATGCAGTTACAAAAGCCTGTGCCATAGTAGTGCAAAATATTTCCTAGATTACCAGTTATTTTAACAAATCGTTTGTATAATTCCAAATCAGATTATCCATTCCACATTTTTTACATTATTTGGCCATTAGTTCTTATCTTTGTTCCCATAGTTGTCACAACGTTTCGGCCGTTTTACGCTCCAGCCTTCTTCAGATGGTTGGAATGTCGAACTGAACCCTTTATTTCGCTCACTGGGGTAGACTATTCTACTTCCACATGTCATGTCTAATGGATGCCAGTTATCTCCTGTTAATTCCCCTCTCAAATTTCTACACCGCCTTAACCGGGTATTGAACGCGCACTCTTTTGGGTCCTGTTACTTTATCTAACTAACGCCTTTATCCACTGTGCCATTTGTCCTTGGGGCCGAAACGTTGTGATATATATGGCAAAAAAATAAGGACAATAGTCCGAACAATTTAAATAGTGTACATAATACCTTATCACAGAAATACAGACAGATCAATTCCACAATAAAGAGTTTCTCGAGAACTTGTCACTGTTAAAAGTTTAGTATTTGATACCTTTACAGGAATTAATGATAACAGTGGATCACTAGTCTAGAAAGGAAATTTCATCAGCAAATGACCTTCGATGCTGATCTACAAAGCAATTTGCATTTTTCTTGCCGAAACTCAATCAAAAACCACTGTGCCATGTGTCCTTGAGGACAGCTGTGTATGAATTTCTCGGTATTATAAACCTAATGTCTTCAGCAACCATTTTTACCATTGCTCATATTGCAATTTTTGCTGTTATCATTGCATGTATTTTACCAGAGCTCATATTGCATTTTTTTTTATAGATATATTGGTAGAGTGACTTTTGTTGCTGTAGAAAGAGCAAGGTGTATTCACAGTGCGCATTACATTCACTTTCGAACTAATGTATTTGGAAAAGCACATATCCAGCTTTTCATCTCACCGTCGCGTGTACGCATGTTCTACTGGATAAGCTGAAAATGTAAAGCCGCGGAGCTAAGTTCGAATTCCAGTCTAGTAAGTTACATTAGTGGTTTAAATATTTACGGGCAAATACACTTGAGAAAAGTACTAATTCTTATCTTCTCTCTATAGGTTAGACAGTAGGATTGTACCTGGTAAAATTATTTTATTCTAAAATGAGTATATATTTATGCAATACTCACACACACGTAAAAAATAGAATTATACTTACAATCTTAATACTGTGTTTCGGCTTTAAACAACCCAAAATGGGTTGATAAGCCGTAAAAAATAAATCACTCAATAAAAAACTCTCCCTGCTGCCTGCTGAAATAACGGGACTAAAAAAGAACACCTTGGAAATCAAATTCTTGTAGAAGGCAATGGGAAACTCCTCCATTATTTTCCTAAAGAATGAACACAGCAATTAACAATATATATATATATATATATATATATATATATATATAATTATTTTTTAAAAAATATGATTCCAACTCGCGACATAAGAGGTCTCATGTTTCAAAACAAGTGCCGAAAAGTTCAATATAATTATTTAAATTAAATTGAGTTAAAGTAAGCTCTGTTCCATCTTCAAGCGAAATTATTTTGGAATAACGTATTTCTGAAATTTACGTGTTTTAATAATTGAAATCAAAATTTCCATGGTAACAGCTAGAGCGAAATGTTTAAATTGGGTAGGCGAGTGTTGGGTGTTAATAATAAGTATCAGTATAGAGTTACTTTCATAGATGTCAAATCAGGGTAAGGTAGGGGTGTCTAAATTTGAAACGGAAGATGTTTTAGCCTAGTCTGGTTTACGTGTCTATGGAGATTTATTTATTTATTTTTTTATTTCATTTCTTAATGAAAGGGATTTGTGCATATAAAAAAAATAACCAAAAAAAAAAAAAGCAAAAAAAAAAACAAAACTGCCGTAACATTTGTTTTTTGACGACTTCATAAAGGGTTATCTTTTTTGCAGGGTATTTAAACTATTTATTTGGGCTATGGATTATAAAAGTTATTATATTGTATGCTTGTTTTAAGCTAATTATTCAAACCATGAATTTGATGATGTCGACAAAAAACCGTTAACTTATGTCTATTATTTAATAGATTATTATTATTTACGAACTTAATAATGTGCTATTTCTCATGGAGTAACAAAGGGCATGGGTCATCCAAAGTTTAACATGTTTTTACGAAATGACCCAAAGAGTGTGAGTTCAATACCCGGTTAAGGCAGTGGAGAACTTTGAGAAGGGAATTAACAGGAGATAACTGATAACTGACATTCATTAAACATGGCAGGTGGAACTAGAACAGTCTACCCCAGTGAGTGAAATAAAGGATTCAGTTCGACATTCCAACCGCCTGAAGAAGGCCGGAGCTTACAACGTCTGAAAAGTTGTGATAAATATGGCGACAAAGATGAGGACAATAATCCGAAAAGATTTAAATAGACTACATAATACCTCATCTCAGAAATATAGACAGATAATAATTTTACACACCATATGTATCTATTTATCTATCCCAATCTGATCATTATCTATCTATCTTACAGCCATGTCATCTTGAATCACCGGTTCCCGTACGATAACATAAGGTAAGCAACATCGACCTTTATCAGTACCTGGATGGGTGACCGCTTGAGAATATCAGGTACTGGATGTGCGTGTGGTGCAGTGGATAACGGTTAGGAATTCGAAATTGAAGAGACGAGTTCCATTTCCAGTTAAGTTCGTTATATTTACTTGCGTGTAAATACTTTTGGAAAATGTATGAATCCAACAACACTCCCCCAACACCTACGGGTTAATTAGTAGGATTTATATAAGTAAATCATTATTATCCCGAATAATGCTTACAATCTAAAAATATATATTCTGGCTTTAAATAACCTGCAAAAGTTTAAAAAGCAAGGGAGAGAAATATGTCTATCTATTTATCTACTTGAATGAAAAAATATTGCAAAGACTTGTCCACCAACTGCAGATGTTCATGTAACTTCCCTCACACAAATCAGAGGATCGGATGAATCTATTAAAATATTACTTTATAGCGTTTGTATTATGTATTTTGCATTATACATTATACTTATTATATCGTTTGTATTATAGTGGTTTTATTGTATTGGCATTTGTATTGTTGAATATCAAAATTATATCTGGTAATAATTCAACACATTTATCGGACCCCTAAACTGCTATTTAATATGTCTTTCTCTATAGCAGTGAATACTGGATAATTTCTCCAACAGAGTTTAGTTTAAAGGAGACGTCAAAGAAAAGAGTACTGAACTGTTTTTTGATATCTCTCCTTCTATATGGCAATGGACACTGGACAGTCTCCTCAAAAATGTAGAGATTTGAAGCACCAGAAATATGGTTCTTCAGAACGATACTGATAACATGGACCGAATATGTGAGCAACGAGGAAATTTCAAATGAAATAGAAATAAAAAAGAAAATTATACTTAGGAAGAAACAGCAGAATTTTCTAGGACACATAATGAGGAAAGTGGACTAAGAAAATTAGATACTCACAAGTCAGCCTGAAAGCAAGAGGGACAGAGGAAAACAACGCATATCATACTTAGTGAACTTGATTAAATCGATGGCGAAACAGAGTTTAGGAAAGATGACAAAAAATATTAAGGGCTACAAAGGACAGGACATTCTGGAGAATCTCGCTCGCCTACGTCCTGAATAAACACTTCAAATGAAGAAGATTTAATACTTGGAAAATTAAACAAAGGATATAGCAAAATAGACAATGAGAGGCAGCGGGCCATTTACCTGACGCGCTTGTATGGATCGATGGCGGTACGCAAAGTTGGGGTGATCGTAAATGACAATATCAGCTTGTTTGACCCAATTCTCTTTCACAGAAGCAACTCATATCGAAGCGTGGTCTCGTCAGCAAGGTCACTTTTCCCCCTTCTTTCCTGGATTACCATTACCACTATTGACCCATATCCTTATTGTGATGGCATCACGCGCAGCCATTCCTTAAACTGGTTCTAACCTCCTGTGAGGGTTATGAGAAATATCTCCTTTTCCCCAAACGGAAAATCTATAAACGGCTCCTTACGTGTACTTAGAGAGGCAGCCATTTTGAAAGAGAGTTATTGGTAGAAAAGAAGAAAGAAAACCCATAAAGTTATCTCCCGATGTTCGAGATACTTTATATTTAGATGAAAATAATATCATATGAATAATATACCATCATTTTGCATCTATATATTCATAAGTATGTATAGATTTATATATTCACAAGCAGCATGGCCCGGCGTTGCCTGTGCTTGATTCAAAAATCGTACGACATACAGCAATCGCTATCACTTGACTTAAAATATTTTTGCCCTTCCTTGCCTTTAAAGGAGTGCCCTTTGCCGTGCTGATATTGCTACATGCCTTACTTCTTGAGAATTTTTCTAAGCTCTATACTAAACATTAAATCTGTTACGAAAAAAAAAACTAAACAAAATGAACACAAAACGATCAGCTTTAAAGAAGGACTCGTAACTGGAAAAAAACGAATGAAAAAAGAATGTTAACAACAAATACTTTTTCACACCCAACCCAGTTCTGCGGAATCAGAATCAACGTTGAGTTTAAGCAAGCAAATGAGCCAATTGGAGTAAAGTACCATGCAAATTTAAATTTTTCCCACTTGTGACGAATGCAGCTATCGATTTTTTTTGCATGCTAGCATGCTAGTTAACATTCGTGTCAGTCAGCTGTTGGCTCTCACGCTGGCCAATAGTATCTTCCTGCCTATTCGTGGCAGCCAACTATTGGCTCTCACTCTAGCCAGTAGAAAATGGCCGCAAACTACATGAAAACTGCCGTAGAAGCATGAAAAAACGATTATTTCCACTATCGATGGGAGTTGGGAAATGCAAAGTCGGTCTTGGCCTTCCCGCTAACCTGGAGCATGTGCATGTAAATTTTGTTGCAAATCCGTCGAAAATTGTGGCCGTGCATTGGTTACACACACACATCCGGCCTTTTATAAAGTGAGATTTATGAAGACATTTACCGCCGCCTGTATTACACAATTTGCTATATGTGTGGTCTTGCTTGTCTATCATATATATATATATATATATATATATATATATATATATATATATTATAATGTGAAAAAGACAATATTTATAAATGTAAAAGACAATAGGAAAACTGCAATAGTAGCCGACGCGTTTCGTCAAATGTGGACTTTTCGCGGCAAAAAAGAAATGAATTTCTTAAACAAAGTAACTAATAATAACAAAAAAAATGTACTTACAACTGCACGAATTTAGAGAACGTTATTTTCATACTGTTAACTGAAAATTGCGTCAAGTATTGTCACGTGCGGAGATATTGTTTTTATTGCTGTGTTGACGGATTCAACCATTTTCTTTTGACACTGTCGTGTACGTTTCTTTGGGAGAGTAGTAATTCTGTTAAGAAAGGTGAAATAGGGAAAAAGCCAGAGTGTAGATTAATATTTGGATAATATTCAATGACGGCACTCTCGAGGATTTTCCTTCTGAGTGAATTATTTTCTGATTTTATGATTGTAGCATTTTTAAAAACAAAATTGTGGTTGAATTTATTTGTATGTATGAATAGTGCATTAGCAAAATTGTTTTTTGTGAGGTCGTATTTGTGCTCAAAAATGCGTTTATTTTTTTCATTTCTACTTGTTTCTCCTGTATATTGCCTTTTCCATTTTTCCTATTGTCTTTTACATTTATAAATATATTATAATGTTTCTGTTTCTATAATATATATTTATGTAAATTAATAATATTATATGTTCATATATATATATATATATATATATATATATATATATATATGATAAATGCGAATTTCAGTGTGTCACTGTGTCACAGGTTTTAACTTATTCTTAGGGGTCGTAGCCCAACATATCATACCATTTTGGAATCAGGCCGAGTCGATAAGCAAATCAAAAATATTCCAGGCCAGATCCGGACCCGGACCCGAAATCCGGACCCGAAATCCTGAAATTTTGGCTTCCAAATTTTTATAACTTCGGAGAATTTTTGCGACGAATTTTTTGTACAATAACAGTTTTTATAACTTGAAAATAAATTTGGGAATAATCGAAATTAATGGCGAAACACAGAAAGTCATCGATGAAATAAAAAAATATTGCTTGTACGGAAAGTAAGGACCTACGTACATCAAATTGGTTTAAATTTAATGGCGACAGAAGAATTGTAGTTGAACTTTCAAAAGGCAAGCTTAAATATTAATGCAATGCTTAAATGCAGACATCAATCTTGAGTTTCTTGTTGCCCATCGCATCTACGTCAAATCAAAAGCCCTCCGCATGAGTTAACTTAAATGCCTCCCACCGGGCAGGGCGGCTTTTAAGCTAGTATATATATATATATATATATATATATATATATATATATGTTGGAGATTGTTATACTTTCCGGAATTTATTCATTTCTCCCGGATTTTCAATTCCGTCTTGGATCATCGAGGGAAGGAACGAATAACAAATGTCTGTTGTATAATTAACCTCTGTAAGTAAGGCGTCTGAACATTTGCTTTTAATGCGTTTATTTTTCGCTAATCTGCACGTTCCGATTATTTTTTTCTTTTAATTTGAGGAAAATACACTTAAAATATAGAAGCGAGTTGTAAAGTAGACTTTTGCCACGCGTTATTTTCGCTGACGATTCCAGATGTAAGTGAAAGCCTGAGAGAAATGAATAATGTTTCAGGGAGCATATATATATATATATATATATATATATATATATATATGAGGTGTTAACGCAATAATAGATATGCAACATCTGAAGATATTCTTAGCTGAGTTTGGGAGGATTTGGGAAAAATAAAAATGATTTGAAAGAAAATTTAGCAATTCTACGGCCACTGAAAAATTATTTCGTGGACTTGAAAGGATTAAAACTAATATATATATATATATATATAATCAATCAGGACACTCATTAGAAAACTGTAAATGTTTATTGATAGATTCTGATTTCAGTTCCACATACACACGTAGAAAAAAAAAAGAAAAATACTGGATTTTAAAATTAAATACATATAAACTAGGGTTAAATAAAGACTCGGGTATTTTAAATCTTTATAAATATTTCAATAATTAAACATTTTTTAGATATAGTTAAAAAAATTTTTTTATTTTTTTAAACAAGATCTAAAATATTATGACAGTTAGATTTACGTTAGGAATATTGGAACACAGTGTGGTCCCATATCACGTGACGTCCGCGTCTCGCGACGGATGCGACTTGTAAACAAACACTAATTTTAATTTTTTTGTAACAAACAGTTATTTCTGAAGAAAGATTGAGGTCAATCTGAAATATCAAATATATATATATATATAAATAAATACTTTCATAAAAAAACATTATTATTTTAATTTGCAACTTTTTTTATATATATATATATATATATATATATATATATATATATATATATATATAGACATAATGTGTCGAAATCATTTAATCAAACATGCTTGATGTGTCCGCTGTATCCTATATGGAACCGCCATGTAGCCTACCGTGCTATACCATTTAGCTTTGAAAAAAGACTGGAATCCAACTCTTCTCTCCCAACTATCGGTCAATTTTCGGACTTAGTCCATTTCATAATATATGATG